ATAAAGCTATATTATAGTATATCCTTACTGTAGCAAAGAGGTGGCTGCCGGGGTCTTCGTCCGCCTCAAGCTTTTGGTTAAGACCTCCTGAGAAGAATCGTTTGTTCCATAGGTCCCGGTTTACGGTTTGCGGTTTAGGGTTCGGGGTGTAGGGGTTTAGGCTTTAGGGGCTTGGGGTTTAGGGTCCCTCCCTGAAAAAGCCTTCGGCAGAACGCCCAACATGGACAACTGAAAGCCTTCGAAAAACAACAGGTTCTCAAAGTCTTGGCGTGACCGTCTGCACTCTAAGTTCTAAGCCCCGAACCTTAAATTCCGAACACCTTGAAAAGCCGCCCGACATTGCCCCACGCAGGCCTCATGCTCCAGCACCTGGCAAGACAAGAACTTCAGCCAAGGCTGCGGCTTTCAACGTGAGTTTGGCAACTCCATACGTACTATAAGGGCCTAAATAGATACGAATACTGTTTTTTTGGGGGGTCCATATTATAGTTATGGTATAAATATACCCCGAAACCCTCTATTCTAATTATTTCGGCCCCTATAGTATGCAAAGCTCTTGCCTTCCCATAGAATGAGAACTCCCAACCCTAAACCCTAAACCCTAAACCCTAAACTCTAAACCCTAAACCCCCCCCCCAAGCCCCAAGGACAGGAGCCAAGGAGGATGCTGTTGATACACAGAATGGAACCCTCTATGATCCATGCATAGCTGGGGGTTACCGAGGTTAAGGCTGAGGCAGGAGTGTATATCAGTAGCAAGCTCCCAAGCCTGCAGACTTCTGGCTTTAGGGTTTAGGGTTTAGGGTTTAGGCTATAGGGTTTAGGGTTTAGGGGTTGTATCTTCGGGAGCTTATGCTACATTTCAGGACTCTCGGGTTCGGGGGCCAGGCGTGAGCCACAGATCTTCAGACAACGTGACGCAGAGCTATCAGCTCTATGCCGACAGCATTGTCCGAAGAGCAGGCGACCTTGAATCTTGAACAAACGCAACAAAGAAAAGAGCACGACGCCAGGAATCCGAAACCAGATTTCAGCAACAACTTTCGCTGCAGTTGTAAGACACCGCAAGCGAGTTCGTGAGAAGTTCGAAGCCGAGACCTGGTAGAGCTGCGACATCCGACCGAACAAAACAGCAATACCAATACAACCGCAATACTCAATATGTATTCAGAGTAGAAATACGGTCATTATCCAAATTTCCCGTATCCCCTGAACCCTCAACCCTAAAGCCTATGTAAGTTCATGGCCCGGCACCTCCAGGCGCGTATTCTGCCGCGGCCGGGTTGCGAGGAGCTGCGCCGCCTGACTTTGAGCGATGGCTCGGGGCCTTAGCTTAGAGGAGTGTAAGATTTAGAGTTTGGGGCTTAGGGCTTCGGGCTTAGAGTACAAGGTTCAGGGTTTAGGGCTTAGAGCTTTAGGGTTTTAGGGTTTAGAGTTTCGGGTTTAGAGTACAAGGTTTAGAGTTTAGGGTTTAGGGTTTAGGGTTTAGGGTTTAGGGTTTAAACTACAAGGTTTCGAGTGTAGGCTTTAGGGTGGAGGGGCCGGGGTTGTTGGCTTAGGCTTTCAGGCGCAGGTAGGGCTTGTCGATATCACGGGGCATCAAGGGGACTTTGCTCTGTAAGGTTAGCATCACATCACGGTCAAATGTGGTTGCTCACTTTGTTGAAGTCTCGACCGGAAAACATTTGAGGGCTGCGATGAAGAACCAAAATTAGGATCGCTTGATTTCTGAAGTAAATTGGGTTTGGATCCGTTGGTTTCCTCTTGCTGTCCCGGCGAAACATCACAATAGGCAAAATGCCCATCGCTACGGCCATGATGAAGAAGGAATATGGATCTGCTGTGCCGGGTGCAAGATTTAGGGTGGATCGCCGGGTGCAAGATTTAGGATGGACACGGTTTGGGCATAATGGATGGGTTGGTAGCATTAACGGTTGGGGCATGGATGCACTGGCCAATGGATGGGTTGGTAGCATGGACATGGCACGATGCAGACCTGAGCAACAGGGAAAGCGGGGCAAACGAGGGCGATCTACCCAAGATTTAAGATTTGTACGGGGAATCCAGGCATTCAACACTTGTTTTTCATTCATAGTGGCTCCACAAGACCCTTAACCCTAAACCCTGGCATTAAAGTCTGGTAGTCTGGAAGCCAGAACACGTTCCCATTGGTTTTCATGAGCCCGGGTATCGGCCCGAAGCTTCGAAACTGTCTCCGAAACCGCAAACCCAAAAACCCGGGTCTAGGCTTTTAGGGTTTCAAAAGGGTTTAGGGGTGTAGGGTTCAGGGGTATAGGGTTTAGGGCTGTTGAAAACTGTACCCGGAACTTCGGAGCCCCAAACCCTAAACTCCGAACCCTAAACCCCAAGCCCTAAGCCCTAAACTCTAAACTCTAAACCCTAAACCCTAAATCCTGAACCCTAAACCCTAAATCCTGAACCCTAAACCCTAAATTCTGAACCCTAAACCCTAAGCCCTAGGAGCCCTAAGTCCGCAACTTAGGACCTCAGTCCCCAACGCTTGGATCTCTATCTCTACACCCGGAGTCCGAGCCCCACCAGCCTTTCGCAGACCAAGACGAGGGTTTAGGGTTTAGGGTTTAGGGGTTTAGGGGTTTAGGGTTTAGGGTTTAGGGTTTAGGGCTTTAGGGGTTTAGGTTTAGGGTTTGGGGTTCAGGTTTTATAGGGTTTTTATAGAGGCTTGATGGTTTAGGTGATGATGGTAAGGTCAGGACTTTAGGGGTTTAGGGTGGTTTTGGGCCCCCGTCTCCGCAGATGAAAAATCCTGTAGTTGTTAGAGTCTTTGATGGGGTCGCTTGATGTCGGGGCCTTCCAGATTCTGTCCTCAAGCCCCAACCCCATTATCATGCAAGACTTGCCCGTCGATCCAACAGCATACCCAATACTTATGACCTAGTACCAGGTATTTCGTGGCCGTGAACCCGAACCCCTAGAAAAACCCTAAACCCTAAACCCTATACTCCTAAAAAATCCGAAACCTGACACCCTAAACCCCTAGAAAAAACCTGAGACCCTACACCTTAAACCCCTAAAAAAACCCGAAACCTGAAACCCCAAACCTTAGAAAAAACCTGAGACCCTACACCTTAAACCCCTAAAAAAACCCGAAACCTGAAACCCCAAACCTTAGAAAAAACCTGAAACCATTAAAACCCCAAACCCCTACAAAAAAACCTGAAACCTTAAACCTTAAACCCCCAGAAAAACCCCGAAACCCTGAACCCCTAGAAAAACTCAAAACCCTAAACCCCTAGCAAAACCCAAAACCCTTTTTGAGTCCTCAGTTAGAAAAGGCGCCTCATCGAAAAGCGCTTCGATCTCCGGAGATAACCTGGAGATCGGAGGTCGTTCTCGGTCTGTCTGAACCGTCGCAGTCGTAGTAGTAGTAGTAGTAGTAGTAGTAGTAGTAGTAGGAGGAGGAGGAGGAGGAGGAGTACGACTGAAGCGTTAAAGAACTCATCTTATAAAGCCCTGACGGATCTATTATACCCACCTACAAGTAACCGGGTGTGAACCCCGTAGGACCGTGATAGCCCTTACAAAACACTGTTGTTAGCCGAGTTTGTTTAGGAAGGCCTGTATGTTACTTTGCAAGCACCAGGGGCTCGAGGGTGGGGCTTGGGCTTTAGGGTTTAGGGTTTAGGGCTTAGGATGGGGCCCCTAATCCCAAAGCCTTAAGCCAAAGCGAGACGGAAAGCGACGGCCATTTGTCAGGGCTGCTTCTGTCAGGCTCTGACGTGACATGGTGGACGCACCATTTTGGTGGGGACCTTAACCATTAGAACAGGATCTTGGGTTTCGGTTTTCGAGTTAAGGGTTTGGGATGGTTGAGGGTCTAGGCTGGTATACTGTAGTGCAGTTATAATCGGATATCTCAATCTAAACCCTAAACCCTAAACCCTAAACCTCAAAACCCTAAACCCTAAACCCTAAACCTCAAAACCCTAAACCCTAAACCCTAAACCCTAAACCCAAGCCCTGTTCCGGCCTCGGCTTTCCGGCCAAAGCAGCCTCGACCCGAGGAAGCTCCGGCGGCGGCGGCACGCGGCTGGCCCAGCCCTCCTGCGTTTAGGGCTTTAGGGTTTTAGGGTTTAGGGGGGTTTAGGGTTTAGGGTTTAGGGCTTTAGGATTTCGGGCTTTAGGGGGCTTAGGGTTTAGGGTTTAGGGTTTAGGAGGGTTTAGGGTGTAGGGTTTTAGGGTTTTAGGGTTTACGGTTTCGGGTTTAGGGTTTAGGAGGGTTTAGGGTTTAGGGTTTTAGGGTTTAGG